AAGATTGAAGTATGATAATGGTTTGTTTCTCATGGATGGGTCCGGGTGAGATCATCGTAGTTTGGTTTCAACATCAGTGAATAATTTTTGTTGTAGATCTCAAAAAATAATTTCTGGATTTAATACATTATGGTGCATATACATTAACAAAACATATGGAAAGCTGGTTAATTAGTCTATAATTAAGATGGATTCTGAATAACACTTCTCTGCTGAAAAAAGTACTGAAATTATAAAAAAAAAAAATCACCATACCATATAAACTCAAATTGATTTATCTAATTGCGGATAAGATAAGTTTCTTGTGCAGAAAAAAAATCTACTGTTCGGTCGGTTGCCATTTGAATAATTTACATGTAGTGAACTTATTATTATCATTAATATCATTCAGATTTTAAAATTTTGGGGGGTTTTTTTTTGTCATTTTTAAATGATAAAATTAATATTTATTCAAAATATTAAAAAAAAAACCTACGTTTTAGGATCCAAATGAATTTTTAAATTATATATTTTATTATAGTTATCATGTTCAATTATTTCATGTTTATTACGTGTGTTACAAGAGCGTTTGTTTCACTTTTTAAAAAAATATCGGTATTTAAAAAGTTTTTTTTATTAATTTTTTATAAACAATAAAATACTGGTAAGTCGCAAACTTCCAAAAAAAAATTTTCCAATAATTTTTGTTATATAAAATTATGTAAGTAAAAAAACTAAGGTCTAACACAACATCTGACTTTAAAATACATAATATAGTAACATAAGATAATACTGTTGCACAGTATTATATGACCCTTGAGTAAGGACCTCACCCAGAGACTGGAATCTGTGCAAATAGAGCTGCCAGGTTTGTCTGCAGAAACTGTGATAGAAGTAGTATCACTAAAATATTGCAACACCTACAGTCTTCAATTACGTCGACAAGCATATTGACTAAATTTCCTTTAAAAAGAAAACCATCAACGGCCAAGTTGCCATATCATCGCAACAACTCAACTGTATTCTATATACCGAGAGCTAAAAAGAACTGTTACAAATACTCAATTTCCCCAATTGTAGAATGGAATACTCTTCCCGAAAATATAATTAGTTCATCATCTAACAACATTTTAAGGAGAATCTGACCAACCACCTCAAACAGTAAGCTGCTCACACATCACCCTTCGCGTTTGACTTCAAGTATAAAGTGTTGCGAAGTATTAATCAACGTCAAAAAGTAGGGGTGCCCACTTTTATTAAAGTAGGGGTGCCCACTAGTAAGAGGAATGGTAATATGAATAGCTTCATTTTTAGAGGGTAGGATTAGGGGCACAATTTTTCAGAACCCCAAAAAGGAAGGGGGTAAGGGGTCCTCCCCCGGGAAAATGATGATTCCTAGATGGCGGGAAATGAGCTTTCCCGACTTTGTTGAGCTAGGTGTCTTTTATTGACAAAATTCAAGGTTTTCCACCTTATCATTCGTATTACAGTATAAATAGACCTGTTATGTTTGTATACTGTACATAAAAAAAGAGTAGTTGCATACATGTTCTTTTTCCCATGAATCAATGGACTCCAAAACTTGAAAACGGTCAGGTAAATTTTCCCCATTGTTTTTACATTAAATAGGCCTTATGTGTGTAAAAATTGAGTTGCATACGTATTATTTTTTATCATTCCTGATGATGACATAATTAATGTCGAAATATTGAATCCCGACACGATGGCGTGTATTTCGATACTTCGAGTATGTACTATACTATGTTATCTGAGATTAATCGGTGGACCTTTCGGTTATTATCTTTCTATAAAGCGATAAATCCCAAAAAGGAAGGGGGGGGGTGTCTGGGGGTTCTCTCTGCTGGAAAATTTTTATTCCTAAATGGCGGGAAATGAGCTTTGCTGACTTCTGAGATGTCTTTTAATGACTCTTAAGTTCTTCAAAATTCAAGGTTTTCCCCTCTTGAAAACGATTCCATGAATCGATGAACGCAAAAGAAAAAGGAAATTCTATTACTCCCAGGAAAAAATGTTGATTTAAAATGGCGGGAAATGAGAAAATCCTTACTTCTGAAGTTTCTCAAAATTCAAGGTATCCGCTCTTGAAAACGGTCAGGTAAAATTTTCTCATTCGTAGTACAGTAAATATGCCTTTTATTTATTTTTTATTTAAGTAATTGCATACGTAGTCTTTTGACATGAATCGATAAATCCCAAAAATCCCAAAAGGAAAGGGGGACCTGTGGTTTTTCCCCGGAAAAACTTTGATTCCTAAGTGGCAGGAAATGAGCTTCTAAGTTCTTCAATATTTAAGGTTTTCCCCTCTTGAAACAGGTCCTGAAAAGGTAGGTCTAGAATAATTTTTTTTTTGCCTAAGGGAGGAGTCAGGACCCTGTGACCTCCCTTCCCCTGATCCGCCAATGTGAATTGCGAGAAAATGTAACTCGGTCGGGGACTGGATAAACATTCTCTTTCCCATTCTTTTCCTCCTTCTTCCCTCTTTCTTTATATGACAATACTGTATTGTGTTTTTGGGTGCTGTTGCCCAATAATCTTCGTTACTACTTGTAATTTAACTGTTCCTAGGTCATATTTGTACTAAATATCAATTACCGTTCATGTTTATCATTACTATGTGTCACCATGGGATTTCATAAATACCGTAAAAACTCAATTTGAAGTTAAATTTAATCACGAGATGAAGCCCATCTTGAATTGAAACCCCCTCTTTAGTTTCTAAAATTAGCCTCGAAAAAAGCCCATGGGCTTCTTTTCAAGATAGCATATGCTTTTTTCCAAGTACATACAATGAATTTTAAAAAAACAAAAAAATTTGAAACAAGCTATGTATCCTTGTTTGTCTTATCCATGTTTTTGTTTTGCTTGACAGAGTACTTCGCTTCTTTCTCTTGCGTTTTTTTTTCTTTTTATGCGTTGAGATTTCAAACTCTTTACATTCAGTGAAAATGCTTTCCTCCTGACAATGTGATTTCATTCTACCGATTGCTTCCTTCATTATTTCTTTAACTTGTTCGTCTAACTCCAATGAATCAGACGCGTTTATGGGGTTGATGAGTTTTCTCTATAAATTCATTGGTTTCAGCTTTTCCATGCGGATTACTTTCAATTTCAGATACATTTTCTTCTTCGTCAATTGGTTCTGTTTCTGAATCAGAACTATAAGCCTACACAATGTCGGAGGACTGAGTCTTGAGGCATTCTCACTGGTTCTGAATGGCTACCGTGTGCTTTTTCAACATAGCAGTTCATTGCCAAGTGTCCTGTTTTTTTACACGTGTGACAGAATGTGATCGCTAATTTTCGCGGAAATTCGTTGATTTTGTGGCCGTTGAGACCACATTCAAAGCACGTTATTTCAACTTTTTGATCTTTGTTGAAGATCCTGGCGTTAAAATTGTTAATATTAAGAAATCTTGGTAAACTACCTTTAAAGGGTTCAACTAACACTTCGTTTAGTGCAAAATAGAAAACTTCTTCTTTTACGTACAGTATTTATCACTGTATGGTTCACGATATGGCAATTGCGCCCTCTATTTCATTTTTATGCATTATCACCAGAGCGCGTCATTTTGATGTAGACGACGATTTAGAAACGTCAGATAATGATGTACGCAGTGAAGCTTTAATGTTTGGTTGCATATTGAGAGCTCAATAGTGAGTAGACAAAAATTATAGTTTTTAATCACCTTAAAGTTAATTATTGTAGAATCAATAGATGATGATTGATTTAACATGTGAGTTGGCAATAATAATTTAGGCAGTAATTTGTGATAACCATTCATTCGTCAGCAGATAGGGCATACGCTGTGTTGCCCAGCGAAGAAACATGATTTAGCTTATTGTGTATTTCATTGATGATTTGATGCATGTTAATTTGATGTTTAATATAATCATTTTGATTGTGATGAACACTTAACTGTTAACGGCAGTTGATTATTGACAATGTTAAATACCCAGTATACATGCGGAATAGGCAAGTTAAAATATAATTACTAGTTGTGAGTGAGAGAAGATTGTTTAACTTCTGTCATTAGTAGGCCACCGCACTGTTACTACAATGTTACTCGCTAGGGTAGTCATCACGCTTGAGTGATTTAGTATGCCGTTGCTATGCCAACGAGCAGCATAGTTAAAGCCTGTTGTATTGTTTGTATCTTTACAGATTTCGAACATCTATATATAGATTAATGATACCGGTCATTAAAGTTTGAAATTGAGTTGACAACAACCAAGTGAGGGCGCTGTGTCTTATTTTTGTGCTTTACATTCGAAATTCTTCTTCAAGACCAACCATTGCTATGGATCAGGTGAAGAAGAGACGTACAGAAAGGTGCGATGACCAGGATCATCAAGGTGATTCAGACTGCCATAGAAGAATCAGGTCCAGTCGAGTATCTAGACGTCCTGACGGAGATCTGGGGAAAAATTCAAACTTCCCATGAGGAGATTTTAATGTTAGGCGATCCAGAGGATCAGGAACAAGAGCAGTGGATTGAAGAGGTGGAAGGAAATTACAACAAGGTTCGTCAAGGCATAATAAGGTACAAAAACAAGAAGGAAGATGCAACTAAGGAAGGAGGAAGTGTGGCTAAGCAGGAAGACGGACAAATGAAAGAGAAGAAAACAACTATGCAGTTGAAAAAGATGGAATTGCCACGTTTTGAAGGCAACATTAGAGCTTATACCAGGTTTAAAGAAGATTTTAATAATTTTGTTGTTCCGGTCACCCATCCCAAGCAAGTAGCATTTGCTTTACGGCAGACATTAAATCCGGTACCCAGGCAGATTATAGGGCCTATTGAGGATGACATCAAGATGATGTAGGAGAGGCTTGATGGCAGGACTATGGAGACCGAATAAAGTTAGTTGATACTATCATCAACGAGCTGGAGCGGAAACGCGACATCCAAGATGGCGAGTATAGCCGACTGGTAGCCTATATTGATGTGGTAGAAACTAGTTATCATGATCTAAAAAAGGCTGGACTTGAGAGAAAAAATATGGTGGGCGAAATTGAAAAGAAGTTGCCATCATCGGTTTTTGGAAGATGGGTTAGATATATGCATGAGGACGGGAATAAAGTTGATAAGTCGGACAGATTCCCAGAGCTGTTGAAGTTCCTGATTAGGGAGAGGAGAAGCGTAGAATATACGATGGAAGGAATAAGAACCAGCCAGACAACAAAATCAGCTATGGTGCACTCGCTAGATGTTACAACCAAATCAGGTTGCATCATACACCGGGATGGTCAGCATAAAACAGGGAGCTGCCGAACATTCATAAGTAAATCTGTTGCAGAAAAGATGAACATCTTAAAGGAGAGCAGGGCCTGTTTCTCCTGTTTGACAGTTGGTCACACAATTGCCAAGTGTCGTAGAAAAAAGCAGTGTGGAGTACAGGGTTGTACAAGGCTCCATCATAACTTATTGCATCGACAGGAACATGAAAAGGTGGAAACTGACTTAACAACAACATGCAGACAAAGGCAGACCCTTTTTTGCTGCAGCTGATGGAAGTGAAATGTGGCAGTCATGGTATCAATACACTTTGGGACAGCTGTGCGATGGCCTCATTAATCACACATGTGGCAGCCAGGAAAATTAAGGCCAAGGGGCGTCCAGTAACAATATGTATAACAAAGGTAGGAGGTGAAACCGAGTCCATCGACAGTGTGAAGTACAGAGTACCACTCACAGACAAATCAGGGAACGTGATAGTAGTGGAAGCCTATGGAATCCAGAGAATTACGGCAAAAGTAGGCAATAAAGATTTAAGTCATCTGGCCAAAATCTTAGGAGTTAAAGTTGAGGATATCAGAAGACCTACTGGTGAGGTGGAACTGTTGATTGGATATGAATATGCGGGTTACCATCCAGTGAAGATTAAAGCGTGAAAAATCAATTTGGTCAATGTATAGGCGGTTCTCATCCGTCCATTGAGTGGGAAGAAGAAGCAGGACTGCAGGTGAATTATGTCAAGGTAACACCATTCGACGAGTTCCTGACTATAGAAAGCATGGGGGTAAACTGTCAACCCATGTGTAGAAGCTGCAGATGTGGGAAATGCCCCAGGGGAGCGAACAACTTCACATTACAAGAGGAACGTGAACTAAAGTTAATTGAGGGTAATCTGATATATGCTGAAGGCAGATGGACAGCACGCTATCCTGGGATCAAGGATCCACGAGATCTACCGGACAATAGGTCAGTTGCGTAAGCAAAGTTGGTGTCATTAGATAATTAAGAAGCTAGGAAAAGACCAAGCAAAAGCAAAAGCCTACAATGAGCAAATAGAAAATTTGGTGCATCGGGGTGTTGCAAGAGAAATCAAAGATAAGGAGTTAAAGGAATATAAGGGAGCAGTGCATTACATTGCACATCATGGTGTTGAAAAACCAGAGAATACCAGCACTCCGCTGCGAATTGTATTCAATAGCAGCGCTGCATACAAAGGTCACATCTTGAACGAGTACTGGGCCAAGGGACCTGATCTTGTAAATAACTTGTTAGCCATTAGATTCAGGGAAAGGAACCATGCACTAGTAGGAGACATTAAAAAGATGTACCATAGTGTAGCCATCACACAATTAGATCAGCACTGTCACAGATTTTTATGGAGAGGGATGGACACAGACAATCCACCAAAGTCGTACTGTGTGACAGCAGTAAATTTCGGGAACCGCCCATCTGCTACCATTGCAACAGTGGCACTGAGGAAAACAGCAGAAGCAGGCAGCAAGTCAGCACCATCAGCTGCTGAGACGATGTTGAAGAATGTGTACGTAGACGATATTCTTGAGTGTGAAGATTCAGGCAAAGCAGCGAGAGAACGAGCTGAGCAAATAGAGGAGCTAATTAAGCCAGGAAATTTTGCTGTTAAGAAGTGGGTATTTTCAGGAGTCAGTTGTAAAGAGGAGATGTGGATGCCTAAAGAAAAAAGGTACTGGGCATTAGTTGGAATCCACAGAAGGATGTTCCTATGTTCACCGACAATGCGCAAACATTCCAGAACATACCAGAGGTATTAACAAAACGCATATGCTTAAGTAAAATTAACTCTGTGTATGACCCATTGGGACTAGTTACGCCAGTGACGGTGAGGGCTAAGATTCTCCTTCGCAGACTGTGGGGATTAAAGCTAGATTGGGATGAGCCCATAAGTGAGAAAGAGAAAGTAGAATGGAAGCGGTTATTTGAAGATTTGAGCACTGCATCAGGGCATGAGTTTAAAAAATGTGTGAGAACACTGGAAGCGAAACCTGGAATACCACCAACGTTAGTGATGTTTTCAGATGCGTCGGAGCAAGCACTAGGTGCAGTAGCATATGTAACATATGAACTGTGGAATGAAAAATTTGCATCACAAATCATTGCAAGTAAAAGCAGAGTTGCACCAAATGAGATCGTCAGCATAGTAAGGCTAGAGTTAAGTGCAGCCGTGTTGAGTAAGAGATTGGCTCAATACACCAGAAAGGAGATGAGGTTAGAATTCGGCAGGGTGATCTACTTGGTTGATAGTGAAATAGTGCGAGCGATGATTGAAAAGCAAAGCTATGGTTTCAAAACCTTTGCGGCAACGAGGATTGGCGAGATCCAACAAGACACTCAACTTCATGAATGGTGGTGGTGCAAAGGAGAGATCAACATTGCTGATGCAATCGCCAGGGGTAAGAGTACAAAGGAAATCGGACCCAACAGTAGCTGGCAGTGCGGGTCAGAATTTCTAAAATGGCCAATTGAGCAATGGCCCATTGCACAAAAATGTAGTGAGAAGAATTTACCAGAGAGAGTAAAAGTGGTGATGGTTGTTGATGTCCAGGAAGAGGATTCCCTAGCTGACAAAATAAATGCTAACAGACATAGCAGCTATCAAAAGCTATTGAGAGTGACTGCTAGGATTCTTCGGATGTATGAGAAGAAGAGGTTGAGCAGCGTAGCAGATGAGATCACTGCAGAGGATTTGAAAAGGGCAGAAATATTTTGGGTGAAGGAATCCCAGAAAACAATGGTTAAACTGCTAAAAGAAGACAGGGCTCAATTTGATAAGAGATGCTCGATTGGGCCCCAGAATCCGTGAAGATGGTGTGATTGTCGTTGGGGCTAGAATAAAGAGTCATGTTCACTTTAGCTATAACAAGGAAGAAGTGCCTCTGTTAAAGCTATATACCAAGAGCATACATGACAGAGCTCAATTGGGCGTTCAGTCAACGGTAGCCAAGATCCGCTCTTACTACTGGATCATTAATGTTCAGAGAATGGTAAAGACCATAAAGTATCATTGTGTGGACTGCAGGAAGTTTGAAAAGAACACGTCAGCACAGCAGATGGCGCCTTTGCCAGTTAATCGACTAAAACCATCACCAGCTTGGACATACGTAGGTGTGGATTTGTTTGGACCCTTCACGACAAGGGGAGAAGTCAATAAACGGGCAAGAGGAAAGTCGTATGGCGTAGTGTTTGACTGTCTCGTGACGAGGGCTGTTTACATAGATATAGATACCAGCTACAGTGCAGATGCATTTCTGCTTGTCTTCAGAAAGTTTGTGTCTCTAAGGGGATATCCCAAAGAGGTATATAGTGACGCAGGGACACAATTAAGCGCTGCAGCAAAGCAGTTAAAGGAATTCGGTGGGAGACATGGCATTAAGTGGAAGTTTTCGACACCCGATGCTCCGTGGCAGAATGGCATGACATCTATATATAGATTAATGATATTACCGGTCATTAAAGTTTGAAATTGAGTTGACAACAACCAAGTGAGGGCGCAGTGTCTTATTTTTGTGCTTTACATTTGGCCTGTTAGTTTCGGCGGTTGTCGCCATAGCAACAAGCGGTTTGTAAAACACTGCCAATTAAATGTGTTCACTAGAGCGTAAACTGCACGACAAAGTCAACCGTTACCACAGTCAACACATCCTGTTGTTAAGATAAACAAAGGGTCTTACCAATCGTTTCTTTCGCCGGTATATTGGTGGGTAATTGAATCGCTGTCGCTTCTGCTGGCCTACAGAGAAAAGAACGTTTAGCTTCGTTCTGAATTTTTCAAAGACGAAATTGCTAGCCACAGCTAAGTCTCTCACCGTTGATAGTAACTACTTGTAAACTTGATTGTGATTATTTTATTTTATTCATTTTTAAAAAATTTTACTTGTACACTTAAACGCCATCAACGTCATTCGAAAAATCGATTCTTAAGATAGAACAACTGGTAAATGCTGTGATAGTTTTAAACTACTTTAAACTCAACTAAGAACTGTTGATACCATGAAATATACATATACTTATCAAAAACATTAAACATTATTTTTGCCAAAATCACTGGTCACAACACTTCAAAAATTAATTTTAAAAAAATACAACTTAATCCCTGAATTACAATATTCTGGATTTGTATCGTTTCAATGTTAGATCTGGATCAACCTGTACTCGTTGTGCCTACAAATGTGGTATATGGTGATGTTTCAAACATTATCTGCAACAGCAGCTCTGCCTACCCTGATCCGATACTTACTCTTTATAAAGAATTGCAACGTATAGCTTATACAAATGCCAGTACTCTGAACTACACCATTTATAATACAACTAATTATAACATTGGTGATTACCACTGCAGTGCAAGTAATGAAGCAGGGATAAGGAATAGTGAAACAAAGAAACTCAATGTGAACTGTAAGTTAAATGTTTATATTTCAATTGCTTATTTTAATGATAAATATTCTTTCTGCTTTTCATTCTTGATTTTCCATTTGTAAGGAGATAAAAAGTACAGTAACATTACAAAATAATAGGCAAATTAGGAAACCAAATACATTGCTTAAAAACTAGTCGGGCTGTATAATAAAATAAAAAATAATAAAATAATAAAGTAATAAATTAATAAAATTAAAATGTAATATGGTACAAAGCTTCTTAGTCAAACTAAATATTATTCATATTTTTTGAGTAATTGTATTAACTTCCTTGATATGTGCTTTTCATGCTGGAATATTTTATCCGTTATTTATACACTTTTTTGAATTAATACTTTCAAGAATAGGCCTATTATAAGTCTTTAATGTTTACAAACGACTTAACCACTGACCATTTGTTTATTTTCCCCAATGAAATCGAAATTAAATTAGGCATTCTTAATAAGTAATGTAAGGTATTTATTGTGATGATATTGTATAGTATGTTAATGTGTGGAGAATAGCCCTCGGTGGCTTTCGAAACAATAACAAATCTTGACAACTTGAAGTGTCTGTAGGGTTTATTAAAAAAATCCTGAAACGATTTGTTTGCTTTAATTATGGGCGATGTCTGTATTGGAACATTTGTAAAAGAGTCGTTATATATGTTAACAATTTTTGGGGTGTTTACAGGATATAGTGAATGAGTATACAGAGTTTATATTTTATCCGTTATTTATACACTTTTTTTGAATTAATACTTTCAAGAATATTATATATAGACTTTAATGTTTACAAATTTTCATAATTCGTGTGGCATAAAAATGTTCTTAGCAACCCTAAATGGACAGGGTTTTCTCAGCAATTTTCTATGGTTTTTATAATAAAATACTGCAACTGATTCTAACCCTGACCTAATCATGTTTCTAGGAAGTTTATGTTTCCTATTTATTAATTTTCTTTATTGATTTAATAATCCAAGTTTTTGTTTTGTAATAATTTTTTAGTGATTTTCAGGAATAGTGCATCTGACAATATTAGTGTTGTAAAGGGCTCGTTTCGATTTTATAGATGACCAGATATATATAATTTTACTTATTTGGCAAGTTTGTGTGTTTGATTTAGTTTGTTTCATAAGCACGTTTATAATGGAAGAAAGAACTATTGTATGCATTGGTAAAGGCCATCCGGAACCAGTTACAAACATCACCATCAATGGTAATGTTGTTTCAAGTGGAAGAGGGAGGATAATCTATGATATGGAAAGTGAATGTAACACGAGTTTGACTATTCAATGTGTGGTAGGCAATAACTATGCTAAGAAGACCCAAAAGCTTCCAACTTGTAAAGGTATGTATCATTTCTATTGTTTAATTTAATTTAAATTTGAATTTTGTATTAGAGGCTATAATAATTATATGGGCAGTGCCAAAACTTGATTTGCAACATATTATTTAAGGCTCTCGACAGGAATTGAACATGTAACATAGTTCATTTCAAAGCAGTCAGGCATGCTTTCAGTCGTACGCGAAAGAAAAGGCGTATTTTAGTCGTTGTGCAACATTTACTTCAACCAAACATAACATTTATTCAAATGTAATAGAATGATTGAGAGCCCAATTTAAATACAAAAGATGTTTGGACCAAAGACTCAGTTAAAAATTGTTGTGACTTGACTTGTCACCTATGTGACTTGTTACATATTGAATTTTGCATTTTTGTGTGTTTTTAATGTAGATTGTGCAATAAAAATATTTACATTAGACATGGGAAAACTTACGTGTATTGGTGAAGGTTTCCCGGAGCCAAACACAACCATCTTCATCAGTGGTAATGCCGTTACAAGTGGGAGAATGATATCAACACATTATATGGGAGGTGAATGTAACTCGAGTTTGATTATTGAGTGTATGGTAGAAAATGGCCATTGTAACAAGACCCAACGGCTTAAACATTGTGAAAGCAATAATATTTCGGGTAAGTTATTGATTTATATTTGAAATTTACACTTTTACTCTGAATTATATATGTCAATCAAGTATTGAGTAATTTGTTTCTGAAATTTTGATATTTTAGGTTCAAATCCCATGGCTGTTGGAATATGTACGTATTACTTGTTATATCTTTGTATATTACACTTAATTTTATTTATGACGTTTTGTTGTTATAGTTACTATAATTGTGTTGTACCAAGGATCTTAAAAACTAAAGATATCCAGCTTCGCGTTTTTTTCGCGTAACAGATTAAAAGCGTTTTTTCCAGTGCGTCCTTTCACTATAACAAGTAACAAACCTTTTAGCGAGTGACGATACAGCTCTGTGGAAAATGGTACGGTTGTAAGCATGTTTATGGTTAAAAAGCGACTGAATAAAAGGAGAAAGAGTGGAGGCAAGTATTGTGCCGCGATTAATTGCAAAAACGATTCAAATGTCAATCCTAAACTTAAGTTTCACAATTTTCCTAAAGACAAGAACAGGTAAATTATTGATTTCAATAAAATAAATCTTATTTTTTTATTATTAATTACGTACAAGGCAAGATTTAATATAATGATAACTGATTTTACTAGTATTAATAAATAATATTTATTATTATTCAATATTAGGCCTATTATTCAATAGGCCTATTGTTATTATTATTATTTTATTTAATTAGCCAAAGCCGATGATTAATATTTTTATGTTAATATGCCTACTGTTTCTATGCAACATAGGCCTACTTGCGTACTCGTATACTTAAGTTATGTCATTCTATTTGATTGTCAACAATAATGCAAGCTAAGTCTCGCGAAATGTCGACTTGTTGAGGAAACCAGGTTACGTGCACCGTACCTGTCACTTATGCAATCTTTATTTTGAAGAATTGCAAACACTGATGGCCACAAGAAGACTGGTGTGAATGCAATTAGGCCTAATCATCAATACTTATAGACGGTCAGCAGTGAAAGTTTTGATTATTTTTTGTTGTTTGTTTAACATAAACAAAATAGCTATTTTTCAGAATAATTGTTTTGCCTTTTCCTGTTTAATGTGAAATACTATTATCTAGTATTCAATGGCTGCATATTACGTGGTGCTAATTCATTACTGTTCATTTCAACAGAAACTAGTCATCATTGTGATCATACTTACTACATTACTGCCACCGGGACAGAAGCAGAAATACGGTACTAGATAATTATGACGGAAGACGAAGGGTACAGAATACCAAGTAAGAAGGCCGTAAATCTGAAATTAGACAATTTGCTTTATTAATGTATACTACCGTAAATATGATTGATTGAACGATTGCATTATTGATTGAGTGTAGATATATATTGAATAAGTGATTATATGATTGATTTATTGAAGAGATGCGTAAAAGCAAACTGCATAGCATACTGAATAATATGTACTCCATTCTAAATAT